ATAAATTAAACTCAAAATTGCTAATTCAAAAACTTCTCAAACTGTGATTCCTAGGAATGATATTCCATATACCTCCATTAAGGCTGGTTCTTGTTTTCATTGCCTTTGTAGCTTACCATGTGACCATGTATAACTTTTCAAATGCATTATTTTAACATTTACATCATAAATATGGAAATTCTTCCATACCGATAACAAAGTTGTTTTTTTTTGTTTTTGTTTTTGTTTTTGTTTTTGGTACCGGGGATTGTACGCAGGTCCTTGCGCTTGCAAGGCAGGCCACTGAACCGCTGAGCTAAATCCCCGGCAAAAATGTTGTTTTAAAATCAATTTCTATTCCATTTCTATTTTTTAAATATTATCAAGATATGGTTCACACATGAGAACATCTTGCTACATAGAAAATATCTTTAGCTAAATTGTATAAGAAAGTATTGTTGGTCTGAGACTTTTATAAAAATATGTGGCACTCTTTATGACTAGCATATTGATTACATTTATATGCAAATAGATATCTCCAAAGACCTGTAAAACTGATATAAGTAGGCACAGCCCTTTTAATCATCTTAGCACTACTGATTTACTTAACAACCTCCCCCCATTTTTGTTTTTAGTTCAAATGAAATAAAAGTAAATTTTTACTCAAATGTTTTCTAAATGATTTCAATTAGTGGAGTCCAAATTCTTGGTACTTTACTATATACACTTTGCAGCTTCAGTAATTACCTTAAGTAAATGGATTTTGAATGATATTTCTAAATGAGACTTTAGACATGATTAATTATGAAACTTATGGAGAGGTACTTTATTTCCCAGTTCCCTTGGAAATGAAAGCCATGGTCTGGGTTTAGTAACGCAATACCTGAAATTTGTTAATAACCTGTATTTCTGTGGCACTTTATCCCACCAATGTGGAAACAAAGTCTCCTGATAGCCCCAGAAGGAGCCAACCTCTTTGCCATGTGTCATTTTCTCTCAATTTTAGGTCCCCATTCTGTTCGGAGGCTCTCTCAGAGTGCTGATCGTCATCAGTTGTGCTGTGGCCTGACCGTTTCCTGGATTCCAGCCACTGAAACCTTTCAAGCTATGTTCCCAAATCGATACCAGTCCCTGAGTTCCAAGTGTTAAAAATCAGTAAAATCCATTATGAAGAACCAGGAGGAGAATGTATACCAAAGAAAAATGCCATTGCATGTTAAGGTTTTCTATTCCTTTTGGATTGTAAGCTCAATATCAAAACCTTAGCTACTGATGGGTGACTTATGTGCTCAGTGGGTTTCACTCCTGAGGATCACCTTCCACTACATTTTGCTGGGGGGGAAAAACTGGCTTTGGCAAAGCAGGTGTGAGAATGAGACAAGAAGGTCATGCTATTCTCAGAGAGGAAGGGCTGTTTCACCACAGCCTCTCGCCGCATCAACCAAGACAGCAAGAACTCTTCTCACACAGCAGTGTTCTCAGAAGCCCCATCAATCACTTGTTTATATTTCCTTCAACAGATTTCACCCGTCATCTGTTTTAGAAGAAACAATTTTAAGAATGAACTTAGGGGGGTTTCCATTAGAATAAAAGAACTATCCCTGTCAAAATTTCATAGCTTTCCTATAAGCAATTGGAGGAATAAAACCATGTCAAGACACACTTTCATAATTATATGAAAGTCACTAATACTATATGACAATCTGAAAGACCCTTGACACCTTTGTCTTTATTTTGAGTCATGGGATTTCTAACATTTAAAACTTTGTTGCTTTATTCAGTAAATTTAATTTAAACGACCCTCCATGCCTTGTTTTTCCTTTGAGTTAGAAGCACTTCTAAGATTTAAAACTTTTCCAATCAATTCAATAAATTATTTAGAAGAACAAAAGCAAATTTGTTGATCAGCTTGGAAAACTGGAAGTTGTAAGGCTTTGCGTTCTACAGCCAAAACAGATACACATAAATCCAGAATGTGTACTATTCAGAGAGTATTATTATTAGAACTTTGTGAAGCAGAAGTAGAAGGGCACCCACACGCCATCGAAGAATACATTTGGTTAATTTAATCTCTCCATCTAATTAAGCATTAGCACCACAGACTGTATGTCTAGATAGCTTTACAAGGATAGAATCCTTACCTACTTGTATTCCACCGGCTCAAGAGGCAATCTTACTGTCCAGGAGAATAGAAAGCGAAAGGCAATTAACTGTGTCTAACAACAAGAAAGGAGTATGTGTATTGTCTTGATAGGCCACCTATGCTCATCAAATTGACTACACAGTCCCCCAACATAGTGCCGTATAAAGTGTCCCAAGAGTCCTGGCTTCAGAGGCTGGGTGGGACTCTATCCGGGAATTTCTGTCCTCACGCTTCTCTTTCTTCTTTGTCACCTCTTTCGTCTTTTGACAACTGTGGGTCATTAGTTTGATATGAAAGCTATAATTTTGTATTTATTCTACTGAAATCTTCTGTCCCTTTCTACATCCTAGAAGAGTGTGCACCCCAATAAATATTTATCACTGGAATATATTTCCAGACTACAATGCATGCTGAGTCCATCTGCACCCTGCCTGGACCAGCTCTGCCTTCAAAGCTCCTATTAGATGATACTACTCAACTCTGCGCCTGCTGCTGAACCATCAGAGGAGGGACATCATCCTCCAGGGTGTCATCGCAGCATCATCAAAGCTAGGTTGGCAATGGAAACCAGCCCAGAGCACTGGGAGGAAGAATTCTTCCCAATCTGCAATCCAGGACATCTTTACACTAAGAATGGGATTCAAGTACAGGGAGCAGCAACTTGCTAGTGCCCGAGTCTTCTACAGTCTTTGGGTGGATGTACCATAAGACTGTTAGAATCCTAAACCCAGTATTATTATAGGTGGCTTGTTCTGAAAAGTCCTGATTCAAAGAATGCTTACCTATATCAGCACGGCTTCCTGAAAAGCTGCTCATTTGGCCTCTTTGGCTTGTTTGTTTAATGTCCTATATGGGTGCAGGCCCCACACATGAGACGCTCTTGAGAACCCTTGCGGAAACTTTTTATTTTGTGTTATCTTCTGAAACAAAGGGTTACTTTTTAAATTGAAGAAGGGATAGGGTTTAAAATATGGAAGTTAGCAGAAAATATAGCCAGAAAATTACTAACATGTTTTAAAAATTAGTCTTCTCTATTCCTTCCACTGCTACTAGAAGCAATAAATAATGAGCTGTCCCTGACTATGCAGGAAAGCTCACATAAGATTGAGAATAGGAACGATGTGACCCTAGGCCCCTTTAAGGCCCTTAGGCAATCTTGTTTCCAGAAAGTGAGGGGATTTGACAGAATCTCATTCAGAGACATAGAACCCAAAATGAAAAAAGGGAGAAACTGAATGTGACTGGATATTGTGAGCCATAGGTTATCTAAATTGAATAGCTGCACCCTGTGCCTAGATTAGACAGAAAGCAAAGGAGCAGTGACAGAGATAAAGCTGATAGAGAAAACGGAGGCCCTACTCAGAGTCACATGCTTATTCTGTACCTCCAGTTAAACAAGACATGAGTCATAACCAGAATCAACACTATGATCCTATCTAGAGCAGGCTTGAAACCTCATCATGCCCAGGAAATGGGGGATCTTCCCTCAGCCACATTTTGCAAGGTGCAGGCTGCAAAACTATGGATTTTTTCTACATATTTATTCATAATTTCTTTTGGTGTTCTGTATATTTCTTCATAAAACTTGGTATCTTTTGGTCTGCCAGTCTCTACATAAGTCCAGATAATAAATCCAATAGAAAAAAGACTTCTACACAAACTCAAGATAAAGTTCCCTTCCATCCTGCCCCTTGGTTCAATGAGAGTTGTTTCCAAACAAGAAACAAAGCAAGGTGCCCTATTAATTGACTGCTGTAATTCTGATCTGGCAGTACTGGTTTTCACAATTTTTAACTCAATGTGTATTCTGATTTCAACTTCCAAGTCTGTGAAATAAAAATTAAATTAAGCAATTAGTACAAAAATGGTGAGTTTAGACTCTAAATCCAGAGCTACATTAGCATATAAGACTTTAAAGGAAACCATTAAACTAATTTTGTTTCCAAACCATGGATGAGTGCAGTCGAAGACAGAGGTGACAGAGAGGGAATTCTGAACAACAAAGGCAAGTGATCTTTACTTGCAGTCACCACATCCAGAGACTGCTTACAGTGTTTCATCTCTAGTCAAAGACGCAGAACAAACAGCCAAGATCTGTAGTTTTGATAACTATTTCCCAGGAGCTGGGGCTGCCTATGTCCACTGGCCCTTCTAGAAGAGATTCTCATGTGCCAATAATATGAAATGAAAGATTAGTTCTGGGAGGAAGAGGCTTTAAGCTATGAAGAATCAAGGTGAAAAATCTATTCTGGAGTACGCCTATGATCCTAGACCATCTGCCACCCAATCTCTTTGTGCTGATGGAAATATCAACATGATTAGCCAACCACAAGGAAGGGTGAGACACACATTCTACCAGATAAAGTCTTGCTGGCCATACAGTTCAGGATGTTCCTGGTAAAATCTGAGATGACAGCCTAGCCTTAAAACTTTACCCAGAGAAATATTTGAATAGTCATAGTTGACCAATGCTTACATTAGTCTTTAAGATGACTGGAAAAAAAGTCATTTTCAACCTATTTGCCAGACTGAGGCATTCCCTAAACCCTGGGTAGTGAAACTCAACATTCAAAACTGAGGCTAACACATGGTCTCCTTATGGTCTCCAAATTGAGGTTGAAATACTTAAAGATTTATAATCATAAAAGTAGAAATATTCTCCCACCTAGAAATGGACCATCTAAAAAAAGTTAAGAAAGGTGACAGTATGTAGATGAGGGGTATAATGAGAATATTCAAACTTTCATTAATGACCAAGGAAGAAATACAAAGTTGATTACCACTTTTTAAAAGCAGGTATCAGCTGTAGCCCTAGAATTTTTACAGATATGATTTTATTTAATTTCTATTTTAAAGCTAAGGATGCAGCATCAGAGGAGGCAAGCTTATGGTTAATTGTTTTAGTATCTTTATTTCTGCTCTTTTCTTAGTCCTAGAAAATGCAATGTGTTCACAAGGAAGAAGTTAAGAAGTTAAACAAGTTCCTGGTTTTTGAGCTGAGATTTAATCATTTAGATTCAGTGTCTGTCTCCAAGGTCTGGTCTCCTGTGGTGATGCCTTTAGAGGTTCCAAGCAGTTGTCATCATGATGATAAAGTATATATCAGTGTCAATGGATGCACTCACACCTGCATAGTAGTTCATGAACTCCTCAGGAGTCACCTACAGCAGAAAAGTTAGACACAAAAACAAAACGTTTCTTCTCACCCTTGTAATGGACGCCCATCTTCCATCCCTGTAAACAGAAAAGACATGCCCATTAATGAGGTTTTGTGCGTCATTATGACAGAGGAGTGGATCTAAAAGTAAAGAAAAAATAAGTTAAATTGAGGACAGCAGCAAGAGTGGCTCAGGAAAGTAGAAGAATAAAGTCTTGAAAATGTCCAAACCAGCCTAAATGAGAAATGAGACATGAGTTGTCATCTTTTCTCTTAAGAGCAGGAGTTCCATTCAGTGAATGAGGCTGAAAGTCAGAATAAGAAGCAAGTGTTCTCTAAGTGTGGTTAGTACTGTTTTCCCGTGGCACACCAGAAACACATGGCATCGTGCGTCAGTATAAGTCATGTTCCACCCTTCAAAACTGGTGTGCTGTCCTATGGGTAAAGAAATACATTTCTGGTCAAACATGCCTGGTTTGCACACATTGCTAAGAGACAGATTACTCATTCTAGGCTCAGAGTGAACAAAACAATACCTCTTGATCTGCCCCCACCCACCCTAGGTTCCATCTCCATTTTATATCTATGATAGTTAATTTGGGATATCAAGTAATGTGTTCTTCTATGCTAGGATTTTATATTAGTTTGGGGTTGGAAAGAAGTCTTAAATTATATAACTTATTTTAACTTTGTTTTCTAGCTTTTCTGTTAAACATTATGTATGATTATGTGTTTTATACTAAAATGGTGATTCATATTCTAAAACTGTTATGAGATTTATATGTTAATAAATGTAAGTGATAGTGCATTCCAAGCCAAACATGTTGGCTCACACAAGTAGTTGAGTTAGGAAAAGAATTGCCCTCCTGGTTGACTAACTTCTATGGCCAGTTTAGTTCAAAGAAAGGATGTGCTGATATCAAAGGATGCAAGATCAATCACTGCAGTTCTTTCCTTTTATCTAGAAGGGGTGTAAATTAAAATATCCATAATAAAATAAAAAAAGAAGGAGGAGGAAGAGGAAGGGGAGGAGGAGGAGTAGGAGGAGAATCCAGCCCCAGTAATCATGGCTGCTTTGGAAATACTTGTTTTCTAGTGAGTCCTCAAGTTTCAGCACTAAGATCACAAGAAGGGAGATCCATCATTGCCTGAAAAGATCTTTCTAGTCCATAGCAATACACTCTTCTCCCACTAAGACTGTGAAACATGCCTATTTCTTCCAAGAATCATAGGAACTCGTGGATCCCTTTCTTTTATTGAAATTGTAAGTGAATAGAAAATAAAATTCTAAGATCCACAGTTACTTTTCTTGGACTGCCTTCTACCGCCACCTATGCCCCCGAGGTGAAAGGCGTTAGGAAAAAAGGCATTGAACTGACTGAGCCAAAGGTAGGGTTGTGCTTATCAGGGGTCCATGAATGCAAATAAATAATATATCCATAGAGGCCCTTATTTTCTTTATAAAACATTTGCTGTGGAGTTCCTCTAAATCAACAGTTCCTTGGACATTTAAACTATGATTCAAAGCACAAAATTTTGAATCACTTTTCATAAATATTTTTATTTTATTGCATTTACTAAATGCAATATCACTTATACAATTTTTATCATAATGCCTGGTAAATAACACTTCCAGGAAGGTAGCAGAGCAGCAAGCAGCAACAAATCAACCTTCCCGAGATTCAGAATCCAGACATTAAAAAGCAACAATTTTGGAAAGAAAGAGGGAAGTAAATCCCCAGGACCCAGGAAGGATCTGAAAAGAAAACTGGAGCCCACAGAGAAAGTGAAGAGACATACCTCAATGTAGAATAAGGAGGGGACAATATGCACTTTCTCCCCGGCTCCTGGCTTGTGGCATTAAAGGAGGATCAAATCTACAGAGACACTGTGAGGATGAGTGACTCCAGAGGCTTCCAGGGAGAAACACACCAGTGGAATAGAACAGTAGATACTGTGTCCTACAACAGCTGATGAGTGTCTCTGGTCCAACATACTGCTATATCCCCTGGAAACAGTGCTTGGTCAGATGCCATTATAGGGAGAGGTCAACTGAACCTGGGACTTAGAGCAGCCATGGGCTGACTTCATCTCAGGGCTTCTAGTTAAATCCCATAGTAATTGGATGAGGGACAACTGCAGAAGATGCCCAGGGTCACGGAGCCGTGGTCAGGCCAGTAAGAGATACCTAGAGTGTTGTAGAATGAATGATGTAGGCCCCAACTCCATGACCAGAGGGCAGGATCAACCTGAACTTCTGTGGATTTAAAAGTACCAGAACTGGTACACTGCTCTAATCCTATTGCAGATTTGCCAGGATTATCCAGCATGAATCTGGGTTTTTAGTGCCTCCTTTCTTTACCAGCAAGAGCAGAGTCGCTCCCTGAATAGGACACTTCCACAAGACTCTAGACCTCAAGATAACCACATGCTTGAAATTACAGAGAACTTTCTTTCTTCTTTTTTTTTTCATTTAGTTTATTAGTTTATTTACTTTTTAGGTATACAGTACAGTTACATCATTGGGATCTTGCACCTTTACATGACAGATCTTGAGGTACTTTTTAGGTATACAGTACAGTTACATCATTGGGATCTTGCACCTTTACATGACAGATCTTGGTTCTCATTTTTTCCCCATACCCCTGCCCTCCCTTCCCTATTTACAAAGACTTTTTTTCCAGTAGATTCAAATTGTATAACTGATAAATGTGAAATAGGAAGAAGAGGGCTAGAGGTGTAGGGGAATTGGGAGGGGTAAGGGAAAAGAAATAAAGGAAAAGAAAAAACATGAGAAAAGAAAAAAATTGAAACAAAGTCTCTTTCTTCTTTTTGATTGTTTTGTTTTCTCATGAATGTGAACATTGCTTTCAGTTTTTTTGTTTTGCTTTGTTCTTGCTTTTGTTTTTTTCCTTCTTTCTTTCCCTCCAGTCTTCTTCACCACTTTCCCAAAGCTTGGGTAATCTTTCTTTGTCCCTGAGCCTTGCTTGTAATCTCTTTCTCTTGTTTTATTTCACTATTTCTACTGCTTATCCTTTTAAATTTTCTCCTCTTTGAGTAAAATCACTCCCCTAAGTGGATATTATAAATAATTTTTTATTTATCTTAGATCTCACTATATGACTATAACACTTGTACTTATGGTTAAAGATGGTAAATTAATAGTTTCCACAGTTTGTCATTTTCTAGTCTGTCCTTTATGCTAAAGCTATCATTACTTGTATATGTTAGCCAGGGTGGCATAGTTGTTATGATCAGTTGATCTTCCTTGTAGGCCAATACCTTGATTGTCTCAGGATTATAAGCAGTACTGTAGTCCAGTACCAAAAACTGGGGGCTGGGCCAAATAGGCAGCAACCCTTCAACCCTAATAAATTGAAGAGGCAGGATCATGGGACAGATTCAAAAACAAAAACTGAGCTATGCCTAGACGAGACCTCTGAAAAGTAGTCATTTCCTAAAGAGGTCTTGATACTAGTAATAAAGCTACCTACCATAAGCAATATACAAGCCTCAGTGCAGAAATAATGCCTGGTTGACAAGTGCCCCATAATTGTTTAGATTCATCTTTATGTAGAATGAGGCATATGTGCATATTATATTTAATAATTAAAAACAGGCACTTCTAAATATTTCAAAGCTAAAATCTCAACTATGAATGTATACAAGAGACAAGTGCCATACTTACTCTGGGCTCTACCCCTTATAATTCAAATTCTGTGGTTCCTCAGAGCAGCCAGGAATCTGAATTATTCACATATACCTGAAAATAATAATCACAAACTGCAGGGTTGGGTTTTATTACCAGATCTGTGATATTCAGGTGACATCAAATGCTGTAATTGCAAAAAACCTCAATAACCTTTTGAGAGATTAATGTGGCTGATTAAGATAAATGTCAAAAGGGACAAGAGTGAGAACTTTAAACCATCTGAATCACAACAGTTAGCTACTTTTACTTGTGTTACAGAAAAGAGCAGCTGAAGTTTCCCCCGGGAGTGAGGAGGAACCACCTGTAGGAGGAAGAAAACATGCCCTGGGATCCACACAGAGTTGGGCGACTTAGGGGAAATGGCAGTTGGCTATTTTTCCACTGAAGTTTCAGAGATCAAAAGCCAGCAGTACCAGAAGAAAACATACAGTTCTGTTATTTCTGTCGATGCATTCAGCTGCCCTACCAAGTCTAGGCCCACACTGAGTAGTTCTTCAGCCTAAATTAGAAGGTACTTCTTCACCCCTGATCAGAAAATGTCAACAGGAAGGAAAGAAAGGTTTCTCTATAATAGGATTAGTCATAAAGTTTTATGGGAAAAAGTTGGGGGAAATTGCCTTCACAATAAGAAGGGAATTATTTCTTCTTCTCAAAATCATCCTCCTGTTTTTCCTGTCCAATGTTCCACTTCTCTTTTCTGGTATGGCCAAGGAGTTAAGAGATAACATACCCAGGATTGTGCTGCTGTTCATTGAGCTCAAGAAAGAACCTCTTTCTTCCATCACCACACCTCTCAGGTCACTCAACTATGGGCAGAACTGGCTTTGGGATTAAAAATAACGCACGTATTGTGTTGATAAAAGATACATTTCAGCCTAAATGCAATGATGGAGATACAATTCCTTACCCTACCAGGCTATGATGTTGCAACTCGAAGATAATAGTTAATGAGGACAGAGTGGTTGCTTTCATTTTCAATATTATTGTAGCACAGAAATGCAACTTCATCTTAAAGGATACTGAAGAATTTATCAAGGTAAATTCTGCTGTCTGGCACTCCCTTTCCCAAAAGCTGCCTGTAAAAGACATTTGCATGTAGCAAAGTGTGATGACCACTGATGCTGAAAAGGATAAATATATGTGGTGAATCTGTTATAAAAAAGTCAAATTATGATTTCATTTTGAAGTTAAACATATTTTATCGTAGCTTCATTTTGGGGAATGTGGCTGGTGAAGTATGCTGAACATGGCAGTGATGACATGGAGCGTCTAATCAAAAAACCACATTTTCCACAGAACGAGCATTTAGCAGTACGTGGACCCCTTTCTACATGCTGTCTGTCTGTGTCTCTGCGTGTGTGTGACTCATATATTTTCTCAAATATTTTATTACTTTTGTTTCCAACTGGCTAGATGGTCTCTATAGAAATATTTTATTTCTCTTTATAACAAATACATTAATATGTTGAGATTTTTAAGACTTTAGACCTACTTCCCATTCAAATTGGACATAAGAAATCTTACTTAAAGTTTTTTTTAAACTTACCAATCCGTCTTTATCATAGGGTGAATCAAAGTTATCCAGAAATTTCCTGAAGACTTGGTCTTCTGTCCATTCGCCATTTTGGTACTTTGGATGGTGTTTTGCATTATATACCCCTCGAAGGTCTTCAATTGTTATAACACCATCTCCAGTCTTGTCTAACTTTCTAAAAGCTCTCATAATTACCTCCTTTCTGGCTCTAGACATAGGAGGCTAGAGAAACAGAAAAGCGCATACACAGACATCATGCACATGCAAATGAGCTGTCCTTGTCTCATACGCAGTAACACATCTTATTCCCCTCAATGATGTGAAATTGTCTGTGTGCTGCTAAAGGAGATGAATTATGACTGCCCCACACAGTCCCTCAGTCTGTTTTCAGTCTCTTGCCTCCACAGTGTACTAACAACGTCTAAAAACAAAACCTCAAAATAGCCAACCCAAACCACGTGAAAGCCAAACTCAGCAGATAACACTGATTCACAGGGCCACTTACTCTTAACGTGAGAAGAAATTCATTGAAGTCTATAGTTCCACTTCCATCTTTATCAAACCTCCGGAAAAGCTCTTCTGCCTCTTCCTTTTCCATAACCACTGCATAATCATTTAACCCTTTCAGAAATTCTTTGAAATCAAGGGTCCTGTTGTTATTGTCATCCATAATTCGAAACACTCTGAAGAAAACACACAGAAAAGAAAGGGAAAAAAAGAACAGGTGTAGATGTGAAGATTTAAATAAAACATCAGTCTCAAAGATTTATTAAAGTTAGAGATAGCAGTCTAGAGTCTTCTCTGCACTTCTCCACTGGAACTGCAGAGCCTCTTCTCAGCCTCTCATTAAGGAGAACAAACCTTTAAACACACTCATGGGCGTGCACTCATACACACACACAAAATTGCACTGTGTGTTCTAATTGCACGATATGTGCCATAGCTTTGTGTCCTTACTGTTCCCTGAAAATCCATGTGTTCAAAGCTTTGTCCACCGGCATGTGATGCTATTGTGAATTCACCGTGCCGTTAGCAGACAGAGCACAGTGAAAGAAGGTTAGGTTGTTGGGGGTGTGCTACTGGTACTTTGGATCTTCCCAGTTTCTACCCTTTGCCTCCCAGCTGCCATGAGGCAAGCACCTTTGACCCATGCACCCCTTGCCATGATGTGCTGCCTGAACTACAGGCTCAGGAGCTGTGGGCTAAAGCAAACTTGGACTGAAGCCTGTGAAGCTGTGAGCCAAGATAAAGCTTTCCTACTTCCAAGCCAGTCATCTCAGGTATGCTGTTACGGTCATGGAGAGATAGTCACAGCATATATAACATCTCGGACACCTGCTTTTGCTATTAGACCCAAAACTTTTTCATCTCCCAATTAAACTAAAGCAGAAAATATAGCTAATGATATGGAAAAAATTATTTTATCCTATCATTAAATAAAGCCTGTAGAACCTAGCACAGAGTGTAAACATGGCTTCTCACTTTTTCAACATATATCCACCGACTGCCTAAATGTGCAAATGCTGTTTTAGCTATAGGAAGCTACCTTGTTATATTCAACTGTGTCTAATCCTCTCCAGACAAGTGGCACCCGTACTCTTTTCTATGAGAGAAATAATGTATCTTCCAATTTGTTTAACTGTAATGCTTAAATTCCTACTTAGCAATCCTACTATCAATCTTACTATCCTATTATCTTAATCTTTGCCATGCATTCCCTCCTCCTCCACCGTCTACCACCATCCTCAGAGCAACCCTGAGAATTTTGTTGGCATTCTAATGGGTAGAGAGGATTCCCAGTAGGTACTGAGGAAATCAGGGTACGAATTCCAGTTTTACTACTAAAACTAGCTGTGTAGAATTGGATGTAATTTGAAACTTTGCTGGGTCTCATTTTCATGTAAGAAACTACTCTGGTTATCAGTTCCCTATTAAAACTAAAATAATGTATAATTTTCAAATCATAACACATATATGCTAATTCTATGTAAAAATGACAGATTCTTACTCCTTAAGATTTAACACTTTATAAAAAAAAAAGAGAATGAATAAGGGCATTTTGAATAAGGGCATTGTATAGACTGGAATACTGGCTCCGTGAGAACAGAGAGCCTGACTCTTTTATTTATTTGGTTTCATGCTTATCACTTCATCAATATTTCATCACTTCAATATTCATTGATAAGGCAGTGACTTCATCAATATTCGTCGACTGGACGAATGAACAATTGCATGAATGTTACTGTTATGGAAAACGAAACGATCTGTTTCTTTGTAAAACCCTGCTGGAGGTGAGCAGTCAGTGATCCCACAGGCAGTTCTGCTTCCGTAGAGGTGAGCTATAAATGACTACCCCGGAGCAGAAGTCCAAAGTCTGAGAACAGGGCCAGCCAGACCGCTCTTCCTTCCTCCCTCTTTCAGCCCAGTCTCTGCTATCACCCTCCGGGAATGCCTCACTCATTGTCCGGCTAGATGTCTCTACTCCCTGACCGGGCTTTTTCGTAATTTCAAATTGTCCGAGAAGCTGCTTTGCTGAACCTGGAATTAAGAATTTAAAACTGTCACAATAAACAAACCTCAGAGAGAAACTTTTCCAAATTCTGCATCTCACAAATGAGAAATGAGACCCTACAAGGAAACGACCGGCTCAGCAGCGGTGGCCGAAGGCAGCCTCGCTTGGCTATCTCCTGCCTTGCTCTGCCTTCCAACCCTATTCTCCGCCTCCTACCTGCCAAGGCCTTTGATGCCGGCGGAGCCCCTGGCCAGGCACTGCAGTCGGAGTCTCTCCACAGGGTCAGTGGTGGTGGTGAGCTTTTTCTTGGCCTGGATCGCCATCTCTCGGTCGTGGCGCGCAGTCCCTGCCATCTGGAGGGGGAGGTACGGCATGTTAGGAGAAGCAAGTTCACCGCCTGTTCTGTCTTCAACCTTCCGAGAGAGTAGCCCATACTACCCAAAATTTCACTTTTTAACTCTGCCACTGTGCACGGCGTGTTTGTTAGTTGCTAATCTATTCCTGAGTACATCTGCTTTCTTCAGCCTGGACCCAAGTTTCAATCTTTCTGAAGCCCTCTCCCCTCCACCAAAAAAAAAAAAAAAAAAAAAAAAAAAAAAAAAAAAAAAAAAAAAAAAAAAAAAGTCCAGCTACTCTACATGATCTTGTACCACCTTATAGGCTATATCCTTTTACTTAGAGCTCTCTACATTCCCTTCACCCCACACTGAATATTCTCCTCTTTTATCTTTTACCTAAACACTGATTTTTGTTATTTCTGTCTTCCCTGAGACTCTCAAAATTTGAGGTTCACTGAATCTTACCCAGTAACTAGTATATGTCCTCCTTGATTAACAAGTTAGTGTCCATTCATACCTCATAAGAGTCTCAGCTCAGAGAAATAAGATAATAGTACACAGACACTATCTTCCAACTGATTTTATACCAGAACACACACACACGCACACACACAGAGGCATTATTTTTTCTTCAGTTTGGCTTTTGTAGTTTTTTGCGTATGTTTTTTTCAATATGCAGACATAGGAGGGAGTTAATACAGTGAAGTGCCAGGTCCTAAACAACCTGGATAACAACATTTGAGTTCTCAGACTCACATTAGTGAAAGGAGCACTAGGCTGGGTCTCTGAAGACCCCAGTGCTAGTCCTACTTCCTAACCCTCCCCTCATGATGTGTGAGCCAACCTCAAGTCCCCCAGTATTCTCCTCCTCTGTTATATGAAAGGATGGGTTACACCAGTGGTGGCAACCCTATGGCACCCATGTTATCAGGTTTTTCTTTTAAGAAAAAAGATGTTAATATAGAGTTGTTTTTTCTAACCTCAGTATTTAGGTTTAATCATAGCATTGGCATTTAAGATAACTAAGTGGGCTTTGGTTTGCAGTTTGACACTCGGTCTCTAAACGGTTCACCCTACTGGGTTAGGAGTTCTTTAAATTTCATCCCAAGTCTAAAAACCGCTCAGAGGGGGTGAAGGCAGGGCAGGGACAAGCCAAAAAAATGAGAACCAAGACCTGTCATGTGAAGGTACAAGATCCCAATGGTGAATGCAAGTGTACTGTACACCTAAAATGTACCAATAAACTCAATGAGAGAAAAAAATAAAAAAACAAAAACCGCTCACCCTTATGAATGCCCTGGTACAGTAAATGGATATCTATAAGATACTTTACGAATGAAAAGAACAAGGAGCAGGAGAGCAAGAAGGATCTACAAAGACCAGCATTCAATGTGAGGCCCACGATAAAAGATTTCACCCTTGACTCAAGGGCCCCCTCCCTGACGAAATTCTGGCGTCTTCCCCAAGGGCCACATAAATTTAGGTTTTGTGAGTTTCACCTTGATTTTTTACATCCCTTCGAGAGCATATTAGTTGGATAACTTGAAGCATTCCAGAATGAATGTATACTTCAGAACATGATGCACAGGGCCAATAGATGCAATTTTACCTGTAGTCTAAACATAAGTAAATAAAAAGTGTCTGACGCAGTCATCCTGGTAAAACAGTGAACTAAGGGCTAAACATCTCCTACGTACTGCTATCCCTTATATTTCAGAGATAATGAAAGAGGGGTGCAGACACATTAATCAGCTTTCCTAAGTCAGAGAGCAATCCAGATCGTAACTCAGAGTTCAAATCATCTACCACCACCTCCTCATGTTGCAGTTGCGAACTGTCCTGTGCTCTTTTCTGTTGCGATACCAAAATCCTCAAAACTGGAAAGTTCATTTTAAGATAGCCATTTATTTGTCTCATAGTTCTGAAGGCTGAGAAGTCCAAGACCATGGAGCTGTATCTACTTAGCATTGATGAGGGCCGCCCTGCGGCACGGTAATGTAACGGTGGGCATCACACGCTGAGACAAAGCAAACATGCTAGGTTGGGTCTCCCTTCCTCTACTTCAAAGAACTACTGCTGACGTGGGGGTCCCGCCCTTATGAGCTTCTCTAATCCCAATTATACCTCAAAGGCCTCTCCTGCAGACACCATTGATGTATGAAATTGTGAGTTTGGGATACTCATTAAAACCACAGCAGTAACCAAGGACTAGGTTGATACGGCAACTTGCCTCAAAGTCCTGGCAAACACCAAAATGCTAGGCTTCTCATTCTCAGGCAGAGCCCTTTCTACTACAACACATTGCAAAATAATATATAAGACACTCAAAGTACAATTTGACCGTGGTCTTTCATGAGAAGTAAGAGTAATGCTGGAATTCAGAAACCCAGTCTGTTCTGCTTCCTGAGGCAAATCCAACCTCCAGGTGACACAGCAGTTACTTCTGGGATCTAATTTGATAGATTCAGGGAAAAATTTCTCTTCTGCCAGTCTAGCAAATGCTTACCATTCTTGCAGATCACTTGAATTCATTAACTCAGTTCATTAACAAATAAGTAACAATTATTCTGTACTATTTTCAAAGCATAGGCTGGGCAGAAAGTGGGGACTCAGGGAAGCAAGCTTTTGAATAGTTTAGGTCTTAGTAAGTTTGAAGGTTGAAGTCACGTGTTTAAGCAAAACAAAAAGCAAAGTTTTCAAGAACTTGTGCAGGATTGGGTATGATCTATAAAGAAAGGCAATAGTGAGCTTTTTTGAGGTTGGTGTGAATGCACGAAGCAAGGAAGAAAGAAACTCTCCTGACATGATGTCATGCTGTCACAGACATCACTGCTCGAAGTATTTCTGACTCCAAAAAACTCTCACTGTCGTGGTGACAAGACACTGCATCCAGTGAGGCTCTCAAATGATGAAAAGCGATCTTCTCCCCATGCGTGTGTCTACAGCGCCGCCCAGTGTCAGATGGTCGCCATTGCAGTCAATTCCCTTAAAAAGAAGCTACCAGGAACTGAGTGAGCCCTGGGCTCTGTGCTGGATGTGGAGGGAAACATGGAACGGGCTACATTTACAGCCAGAGAGGGAGGTGGAATGCAGATGGTGATCTTCCACAGACCTAAAGCTAGCTCAGCTTTACAGTGCGGCTTCTGAAGACATCGTGAAGACGTGATGACTAAGCTTTAATGCTAGTGGAAGGGGTTAGTTCTGGAAGGTGGTCTGGAAGGGTAGAAGGAAGGGCACTGTACATTTTAGACAGCAGGTGTACTGGGTGCCTAGGCCAGTGGTGATAAGCCTATGGCACATGTGTTATTTGCTTTGCCTTTTAATAAGTAATGTATGAGTTGTGTGGTTTGTTTGTTTTTTTGCTTTTGTTTTTGTTTTTCCTATACTAAAACCTCAGCGTTCTTGCAGTTTGGGCACTCGTCTCTGAAAGCTTTGTTCTCACAGATCTAGGCCAAAGTGAAAAAATATAGTATAATTAAAGAAGTGTAAGCCGGGCGTGGTGGCGCACGCCTGAAATCCCAGCACTTGGGAGGCTGAGGCAGGAGGATCGCTGTGAGTTCGAGACCAGCCTGGGCTACATAGTGAGTTCCAAGTCATAGTTCCAACTACATAGAGTCTCAAAAAAAGGTGTAATCATTTTAGTATGATTGGAGAATAAGAGTATGGGCAATGACGACTTGTGGATATCTGGAGGAAGTATGAGGAGAGAAATCTGGGTGAAGATGAATCTGAGCAGGTGAGCAGGCACCAGATCATGAAGAGCCAGCTGAGGGAGGTGGGTAGCAAGGTTCTAAACAGAGAACAGCAGATGCCATTGCAGAGGATTCATCTGAGTGTAATGTGGAGAATAGCAGACAGATTTAAGTCAACACCTGTTAGATAAGGGAAATGTTTCAGTCCCAGATTGTAAAAGTTGTACAGGCTATAAAGTTGTCTTTGGTGCCCCCTAGTGGCAGTAAAGGTAGTACACTAAATTCATTTCTTCCTCCCTCCCTCTATCCCTCTCCCGTCCCCTCCCGCTCTCTTTCTTTCCCGCCAGAGCAACAGTCTAAGGCCAAGTGGATCTTCCTGTTGAAGAGGGTACCCTAGATCCACACGCCATAAAACACTAAGGACTTGCACATCCTCTTTACGGGAAAACCCAAAGGAAATGCCTGAGGACCCCTCTACGACCCCTTTCCCCTTCGGCTTCTCCTAAACTACATTCCTGACTTTCTTCCTTCAGAAGAAAAGACCACCGCTTGAAAGAACCCAGGGAACTGGAGCCAGTTTAGCGAGCCTGGACGAACTTAAGAGAAAGGAGTTTGCCTGAGTGGAAGTGGAGAGGCAGGGACAGAGGTTGTTATACCGTGAAGTAATGCGAAGGCCACCCGGGGGAAGAGGAGGGTCAAACGGAGGATGAAGAGCGCCTCCCTGGCTGGCAGGGAGCTGCGCTGTGACGGTCAGACCAGCTCTTCTCGGTCCAAGTTTTCACCAGCGCTCTGTGCTTGGGCACAACATACTCTAGGAGGGGATTTTCCTACTGAGGAGGTCACAAGTAATGGTTTACATCTAGATGTGGCTGCAAAGCCTCATAGCTGAGGCTTTTGGAAGGTAATCTGATCGTGGGGAAGCTGATAATCACTAGCGAATCAGTCCACTGATGACTTTCTAGCTAAGAGTGAGGTTGGGAGGTAAAAGCTGGTCAGAGGAGGTAGGTCACTGGGGGTCATAACCTGGCAGGGTCTGTCGCTCTCCCTCTTCCTGAATTGCTCTCTGCTTACTCTCTGCCATGCCATCCATGAGCTGCTTCTTCTCTTCCATCCCCTTCTGCCACGCTGCCCTGCCTGAGAGCCAGCTGACTAGGGACCGAGACCTCTACAAACTGGAACCAAAATAACCTTGCCTCAAAGGGCTAAAGGTGTAGGGGAAGTAGGAAGGTTAGGGAAAAGGATATAAGGGAAATGAAGAAGTATAAGAAAAGGAAAAAACAGAAACAACGTCTTTGTAAATAGGAGAGGCTTTAGGAGGTGAAG